TCTCATTCCTGAGAAGCAAAAACCTCAAGGAGCTGACGCAGGACCTGGAGTTGAAGACACACCAGGTTATTACTATAGAGAAGCTGTGGAGCTCAAGAGTTTCAAGGCTTTTATTGTTTGCTGCCCTAAGGCTGCAGCAATAACTGGGAAGAACTGCAAGGGCAACATTACTTTAGAAGTTAAAGGAAGAGTGTTGGCACCATCTCTTCAAAGTCTTGGATACTCCCTTGAAGTATCAACACCATTTCATCCCTTTGGGCTGCTGCTGGGGTGTTGTCTCATGCTAGTGCAGAGCACGCTTGTCTCGCAGTCAGGCTGCAAATTATCCCCTTGGGGCAGAAGCTTTGCAGACCATCCAAAATTCAGCAAAGTGCAGCATGTTTCAAAGTTTTGTCTCAGGCAATTTAACTTGGTCATTTTCTGGTTTGGTTTTGGACATGCTGGTGGGAAGGCTTGTGCGCCAACTGTGAGGACTTTGCTGACTCTGCAGGGAAGGACCCAGCGTCATGTGGTGGTGTTTCCATCTCCCGGCCTTCAGCTGACCCAGCATTTGCTGTGACTCCCTTGCATACAGTTTGTGGGAGTTTGTAGTTTCCCTTCCCACCTCTGCAGTGCCTGGCTTGACCTTCCCAAGCCACTCGTGAGGAGCAATGCGTGGAAGTGGGTCTGCAGGGGCACCTGGAGCAGATAGGCAATGCCTACCTGCTGCATCCCTGGCACCAAGCAGGGTGGCCTTCAGGGTGTCTGCAGAGTGCCCAAATGCCGTGGGGTCATGATCCTTCCACCTTGAAGAACAGTTTGGAAGGAAAAAACTAAATCCCTGGTGGAAACAACCCCAGATACACAGCTGATGCTAGAAATTTTGGCCACTTTGATGGATCATGAGGCGATGTGAAGGGCCATCCTTTCTTTACGCCCCATAGCCATGCAGGTGGATGGTGATGGGACCTGGTGCCCCCCTCAGGCAGCCACTCTGAGCTGGAGCTACCTTAAAGGCTAGCAGTCATCATTTAAGAGCTGTCTTTAGTAAATTCCTACTCTGTGAGCCTTCTATCTTCTCTGAGCAGGATGATGTAGGGAGGCACTTAAGCACTTGAATGATGGGTGATGGACGCTGCCAAGGATTTTTCCTTCTGTTCACTCTGGAGGTGGAGAGGTTTTGTCTCCTTGCGTGTCCTCAACACGTTACAGAGCCACAGCATTTTTCAGCAGGTGAGCTTAGCCCAAGCATCACACCCTTACAAGACAAAAATCTCCTGGTCAAAGGCAAAAGGAAAGGCCTATTCCCCTCCCAGATCTGGTTGATGTACCCGCTCTAGGCCTCTCTCTCCCCAATGTGCCGGCACCGTGTGTTGGGCGCAAGGCTCTGGAGACGTTCCCAGAGGTGGTGGGCAGAGAGGGGAGGTTTCCCAGTTGCTTTTCAAGCAGCCTTTGTTAAAATTGGTCACGGCAGGCTGCGTCTCCTGCTGTCCAGGCGCTTTTGTGGTTCATCGGGCGGGCAGCGAGCACAATGCTGGGAGGGAAAGTGCAGCTCTGTGTGTTGTAAAAAAAAAAATACCCCACGTGTTGTGCATCCAGATAAATGCACGTACCTGCTTTTAACCTGCTCGCTGGTGGAAAAGCCCTCTGAGCTTGGGAACCTGGGACAGACAGGCAACTGAGAGGGACATGGCCACAGCTGAGCCATCCTGGCTCCCCCAGGCACCTCTTTGGGGTGCTGGGATTTGCTGCTGGAGAGGTCTGTCAATGCCAGTGCAGGGGCAGGAGCACTCTTCTGGATGCCTGAGAAAAAAAGCAGGGATTATTTCCTTTTTTAAATGAATTTTACAGGCCATATATTTCTGTGGCATCTTTCTAGTACTGTTTCCTACATTCTTGGATAATGAAGATCGGGGTTTGTTTTTTTCTTTTCTTTCAAGCTCGACAAAGCCAATTTGATGCGCTTTGAAAAGAAATTGAAAACAGGCTTCTCTGCTTCAAATTCTGCCAAGGTTCAGGCATCCCAGGAATACAATGTCTAGGATAAAACCCTCCCAACCACACTTAGAAAATGTTATCCCTGAGCAGCCAGGCTGCACAGGCTCCCCACCATGCTTTTGGGAGCCCGGGCTGTGCTGTATGTCCCTCTGATGAGCGAGTATATACGTTGTTTACTTATTGGCACCCTGGAACAAGCAGTATCTCTCCTAAGCCTTTTCATGGGTTTTGCGTGCAGCTTGCCCACTGGGAGATGGGCCTAATTTCTGGAGAAGATGTGCTGTACTGTCAGTATGACTGGCAAAGCAGAGCTGTATGGATGGTTTGCATTTCGGGCTGAATTGAAGCCATAGCTTACACTGCAGCTTTTTTTTTTTATAGCATGGACTCAGGAAAAGTATTTACCCTGGTTTTGTAAATATGGTATTATTTCTGCAATTTTCTATTATCTAGATTTTTACTAAATTGGCAATATTGACTGCCAGAAATAACACAGAGAGTGTACTTGCACTTTTTTTCTTTTTTCTTTTTGTTGTTGATGTGGCAGGGAAACCCTGAATGGGGCTGGGGAAGGAGGGAGCCTGCGGTGGCTCTTGCCCAGCTTCGCAGCGCAGGATTTCAAGCTTAGGATGGGAAAGTAATGAAGCTCAGACTTGTGGTGCCCAAACCAGAGCTCGCTGACAGCAAAGACAAAGTGGGTTTGGACAGTAATGATGCTTTAACCGCTTGGTCTGTAAACTGACTCAACTTTTAAAAAATGCCATCCACTTGGCATTCATTGCTCTCCAGTTGTGGATTAAAAAGGGTTTTTCCTGCAGTATTTCCAAAGTTCTCCAAATGACTCCTGCATGCACCCCCTCCTTCTCCAGGATACTTGGATCTCTGGCAGTCAGGCTCTTTGCATGCCCAGTGATGGTGTAAGCGACCAAAGGGTTATTACTGGGTGGACAACAAAACCCTGCAAATCCTCTGAGCAGAAGAAGAAGGTTACAGGGGGTTTTGGCAAGCATGGGGTGAGCTGTGTCTCTCCAGAGGGGTGGGATGGGGAGGGTGCTGGAAAAAGTTGCCCAGGGAAGCATGGATTGGGGAGGGAATTTGGCTGGATGCAGATGGGAGTACTGAGGTTTACAGTTAATCCTGCCCATCAGGATTAACTCCCTAGACATCGTTGCAGTTAATTCAGCATCCTTTGAGGCTGGGAGGACAGACTGTGAAGTCCTTATGGTGATGACTTGGAAAGAGTAAGGATATCAGAATCTGCCCTTTTTATTGCACAGCCTTATTTTACTATGGTTAAACTGTGATTTAGATATTGCACCTCACTGAAACTCTTGCTAAGGATGCCAGACCTTTGTTGTAGGTACTTGGGAATAAGCGCGTGTCCACACTCTGCAGGACTTGCTTGAAATCCAGGGCATGAAGGTTTTAGGAATCTGAATTCAGGTGGCATCTGCGTTAGTTGATGCTGGTTATGGTCCCGCAGCAAATCATGATCCCATCAGGCGGGAGGGAGCTGGGGAGACATCAGCCAGTTGCCACAAGTCCTGCTGCCCATTGGGGCTGCTCAGGGGTATTCATCCTCGTCCCTGAATCACTCCAAATGCACCATCGCTGCCTCATAAGCTTCATTAAGTCTGCTCAGTCCTGGAGAGGGAGACCTTGAAGGAAAACCCCCATGGCTGCTGCCAGTGAGCTGGTGGCTTTGCAGCTCTCCTCATCTGGCTGATTTAGTGGCTTTGGGAGAGATGTGGCTTCTCGCCATGAGGCCATCTGAAGCAGCCTCCCCACAGTGAGGGCATGAAAACAGATGGATTTTAGGATAGTGCTGGATGGCTTATGAAGGGGCTCACATGCTGGGGTCGCCTGGGGCAGCTCCCCTGGGAGTTGGAGTTGTGCTGGTGGTGGGTCCCTGCAGCCAGCGGGAGCCTGTGGTCCTAAAAGCCCCGTGGCTGGAAATGTTTCTGCTGGCCAAGCTGCCTTCTGGAAGTGATTCTGGCTGCTGGCTCTCACCCCTCCAAGCTTTTTAGCTCTTTTTAAATTTTTTTCAAGCTTTTCCTCTTATAAACAATCTCTTATCCCTTCTTTGGCAATATATTGTCCCGCTGCGTCTGCCACAGATATACTTGTGCTTCCAAGATAAATAATTGCAAAAAAATGTATTACTCAAACATTGCCTTGACTTCTAACGTGGGTTTGAGCCACTTGGAAATGCCTTTTGCTGCTCCAGCCCTCCAGAGCGTGTTAGACCACCCGAGGCTGGGTGAAGGTGACATGGGTGCAGTATGGCCCAGGGATGGGGTGGGCTGGGAGCATCTCCCAAAGCTGCCCCTTGCTTCCCTCCACCTCACCCCAAATGGAAAGGTGCTGTGCTCAGGGAAGCCCCACCCAGCACTGTACTTGTGGGTTTGCCTCAGACCAAAGTGGAGATATGTTGGCTTTGTAGTATGGGGAAATTTTGCTTGTAACCGTCTTTCCAGCCTATATAATTTTTATAAGTCCCTTCAGAATAGAAAGTATGGCTAAAAGGGGGGAAAAAAAAGCTGTGTGTAAAAAAGAGATATACACAAAAACCTGGTAGTACCTGTCTAAAGGCAGTTCCTTGGTGGTGGGAATCAGAATATTTTAGGTTTCAGATATAGCAGTTAGAATCCTTTTTAAAACATAGGCTGCCAGAGGTCCCGACTGATGCTTGGAGCAGCCTTGCTTTTGCTGGATGCAGCAGTGGGAGGAGCTCTGTGGGCCGAGTTTCTATGCATGCTGGGACGTCCTCGGAGCGATGGCATGGGCACCTGGGTTATGGGCTGGGTGTGCAACCAGGGTAGGAGCCACTGAGGGTGTCTGGAGTAAGGACTGAAGATAAAAACCTCTTAGGAACTGGAAAGTATTTACTTATAGCCAGGAATTTGTTCTGGTTTGGTCTAATTTTTTAATTATTATTATTTCTTGAGTCTTTAAAGCAAAATATTTGAGCATGAAGTGCTCAAATGTCCCATAAGGTGATCTCGTACATCGGTGCTGCAGACATGGCCTCACCAGTGGTGGGTCAGCCTTTGCTCTGACCAGCTTCTGAAGGGACCGTGGCTGATTTTTGGCACAAATCCACACCACCAGCTGTACCCCTCCTGCTACAGTGCTGCAGAGGCAGCGAGCAATTGGGGACCACCTTTCCCAGGGACCACACATGCTCCTCCAAAGCAAACCTCTTTAGGCTTATTGAGACCTTTGCCTGGTTGGGGGCACACAGATCTGGGGGATCCCCAGCCACAGCACCCCACAGGGACCCCCTGTAACACTCTCCTTTTCTCTTCCCACAGACCCAGCAACCATGGCGAAGGACAGGGCTGAAGTCCCCCACCCTGGTGGCCCTTGGGGTGCTGCTGGCCTTGGCCCTGCTGGCCCTTGCCCAACTGCCCCCACCACCAGACCAGTCTCCTCACCTGCCATCAGCATCGTCCCCCCTCAGTCCCTCGCAGGAAGTGGTTGCCACCCTCTCTGGGGGACAAACCCACAGTGAAAGGCCCCCCATGCCCCCTGGTCACCCATGGCAGGACCAGGCCCCTGGCTGGGGCAGGAGGCAGTGGCAGGGGGTAGCAGGGGATGCTCCTCCATGGCTCTCCAGTGATGACCTCCAGAAGATGCAGCTGCTGGCTGGTGGGCGAGTGGTCTCCAAAACCCGCATCCCAGCGCACGGGCAGGTCCTGCGTGTGGGGCTGCAGGCCGTGGGGGATGCCAAGGGGGACATCTCGCCAGCCATCCCAGAGGAGGACTGCCAGGATGGGCGCTGTGGGCTCATCAAGCGTCCTGGGGACCTCTACGAGGTGTTGGCCTTCCACCTGGACAGGGTGCTGGGGCTGAACAGCCGTGGCCCGGTGCTTCACCAGTCACCTCCTGCCCTACAGCTACACTGACGGCTCCCTGCGACCCATCATCTGGTGGGCGCCTGACCTCCAGCACCTGGAGGACACCAACAACGACCAGAACTCCTGCGCCCTGGGGTGGCTGCAGTACCAGGAGATGCTGCAGCCCCGCGGATTGACACCGGTGGCCAGGGATGCTCCTTGCTCCAGCATCCCACGTGGCGAGTGGAGCCGCCTGGCCCTCTTCGACTTTCTCCTACAGGTAGGGCTGGGGTGACAGAGACTGCCTGTCTCACCAGCTGTGCCACCTAGACCTGCCTTGTCTGACCATGATCTCCTTCTCCATGAGGTCGCATAGGCTGATGTGTCCTGGGATGGATTTTTACTCATTAGCTAATGAGAAGCAGCAGAGCTTTGTGCAGAAGCAACCTGGCCTGAGCACGGTCTGTGCTTGAGACTTGCAGGGGAAATGCAGGCAGGTTTTGGTGGCGAGGCCACTTTCACATGGCCAAGCTTTCTCCCAGCACAGCCCTGTTGGCTCCATGTCATGTGGATACCAGCAGTGGCTTGGGACAGGGCATCCCTAGGGACAAGCAGCATCTTCTGCATTGGCCCCATCAGATCCAACTCTAGGGGGTGCACTGCTGGAGCTGGAAATCAGGACACTTGCCCCTTCGTACAGCACTGCTTTCCTCCTCCTCAGGATTAATAGCGCTTAATCTTCTGTCTGGAAAATCATACCCTGCTGCTACGAGGGATTATGACAGCGTCCCGGAGTGTTATCAGTTCTTAGAGCTTGCCTATGAGAAGGCAAAAGTGGTCTCTATGGAAAAAAGCCCTGCTTTAGGCACCCTGGGGCTGGGGCTTTGATTATCAGACAAGGGAGAACTACCTGAAAGAGCATGTATGAAAACAAGAAAATGAAAGAAGTGAAGAAAGAAAAAGACTATTAAAACATGTATTCTCATTATTCTCTCTTTTTTCTTTGGCAAAGCCTGACCATTAATCTTTATAACCTCAGACTATGGCTGGCAGAGGTGGAGCAGTCCTGGCTGAGCTTGGAAATATTTTAGCTGAAACAGCCAAAGAAATTAGAAGATTAAACAACTCCCTTCCCTTCCCCATGCCAAAATGCTGTTGAGTGCAATGGAAAGGCTGAGTCCTCAGAAGAAAGTATCAAGTTTTAAGGAGACTTTTCCTTGGAGGGCCAAAGTAACACAACAATAAATCCAAGGGGAAGCCACAGGTTTTCCTCAATAACTCCAGTGGTATCCCCTCATGTGGAATAAACACATAAAGGTAAAGAGGCACCAAGTCAGCAGGATGTTATAGAAGTGCAACAGCATCCTTCGGAAATGGCTTTAGCCTCTCACAGCCCTTGCTGTAGGAGGAGAGGCTGCGAGCTTGGAGACCTGCTGTGCATTGGCATTGAGATCTTGGTTGTTTTCTTCAATTAGCCTTGAAATTGGGCTGCTCACTTATTGAGCAGTGTGTTGCGAAAACGTCGTGTTTCCTGCTGCATCTTTTCCAGTGCTTGATTAGTTTCTGGGTCTGGACTGAACTCTCTCTCAAAGCACAGCCTGTAATTGATAAGTTTTGCTAATGATCAGGGTGAGAACAACAAGCAGCTGCTGTGGGTTGCTTGGCTTCCATCTACTCATCACCTGTAGGTTTCCCTGGGCTCACATGAGACCTGCTCCAGCCTTCCTGGACACTCCAGGAGCCTCTCTGCACCTTGAGCTCTGGCTCCCAGGTTGGCACCAGCAACAAAGTCAGATGCATTTGTGCTCCATTTGCACTCCAACTGGAACATGTATTTATTTTATACATATGTATATGTATTTAAAGGAGATTTATTTATAATATATGTGTGTGTGTGTGTGTATGTATACATACATATGTGTGTGTATATATACACACACACACACACATATATATATACATGCATATATATATATATATGTATGTGGTTTTATATATATATATATTTATATATATGCCAACACAGAGGATGCATTGGCTGCTTCTGACAAAGCTAAGGAGAATACAGAGCCAGGGTTACTGAAGCCGGGTCTGACAGAGTTTTATTTCCATTAAAAGTCCCTTGACCCTCTGAGGGTGAAGGTGAAACTCTGGAAGCTGCCAAGCAGCACTGGGGTTTCTGCAGGGATTTGGGGTGGGAAAGGGAGGGGCTTGACAGCCAAGACAACATGGAGCCTTAGCAGTGGCTGCAAATAATTAAACACAAATGTAGTTAAAACAAGTCACTGTGGCCTAACTTGAATGTCAGGCATGCTCTGTGTAATGCACAGATGGCTTTTTCCCTTGCCCATCCTTTCCCATCCCATTCCATCTTCTTTCCATTGAGAGCTGCTCAGGTTGCCAGTAGGGGTGGATGAAAGGGTGTACGTGAGCTGGGCACCAGATGAAACCATCATCCAGTACACCAAGACAGCCTGAGGAAAAAAAAAGAAATATTTTTAAGATTTCAAAACCTAGGTTTCCCTCGGTGGTTTTGTTTGTTTCTGGGTCTGGGGATTTTTTGCATTTCTTGTGTACTGAAGATCCTTAGAAACATTTTATTTTCCTCTGAGCAAGAAAAGTTCACAACTGGACTTCCCCACCCCAGGCATCTGCCCCTGCTAAGGTCCCCAAATGTCTCCTGCAGGTTCACGACCGTCTGGACCGCTACTGCTGTGGGTTTCAGCCCGATGCCTCTGAGCCCTGTGTGGAGGAGATGCTGCATGAGAAGTGCCGAAACCCAGCAGAGCTGGTGCTGGTCCACATCCTGGTATGTCCCCCCACTCCCCAGGGGCTGCTCTGAGGCTAAGATGAAGGTGCTTGTGAGGTGCTTGCAGGGCTGAGGTGGCAGCAAGGAAGATGTAGGCCTCATGGCAATGCTGGGCCCATGGTGGCAGCTGTGCCTCAGCACGGAGGGACCTGGGCCTTAGCAATTGCTGTCCCCCAGATGAGCTCAGAATTTCTCAGTGCATTAAATAAACAGCCTAAACTCCCAAACTGGTGACTCTTCGCAGTAAGTGAACTTCTCCTTCCCATCCCTCTGGCAGGTCCGGAGGAGCGCACCATCCCGCCTGGTGTTCATTGACAATGCGGGCAGGCCACAGCACCCTGAGGAGAAGCTCAACTTCAGGCTTCTGCAAGGCATAGACAGGTAGGAAGGGCGATGCACACCCTTCTGGAGGCATGTTTTGGGCGAGGGCTGAGCTTGCACATGCAGGATGGACAGCAGCCCTGTGTGCACACCTTTGTGCCTTCCTTGGCTGCCCCAGTTGGGCATCCTTGTGAAGCGAGACCACCTCCCACCCAGGCTCGCAAACCCATCACACGTGCCCCTGACCTGAAACTGGCTCTTCAACCTCCTCTGGGTGGCTGATGGCAGTCTCCAAAGCCCACTTTCCCCTCTCTAATTGGCAGCTGCACAAAAATAGAGAATATTTCAGCAAATATAATATATATATAATAAATACATTTTGAGACATTGCCCATCAGGCATTTGGTATGCTATCAGCACCTTGATTTGAAGCTCATTTGGATCAATTTCTGATGGAGATGTCCTGCATGCTCTTCATGGGCAGAGATTTATGTAGAAGACTCCCCATCCCATGTTCCTCTGGGTGGACATGCATTTCTTCTTGAAGCATCAGGTTGGCCTTTGCTGGGGTGCCCTGCTGCTCGCCCTTCCCTGGGTGACCCCTTCCTTCCCTTTCTGCTCCTCTACTGCAGCTTTCCAGCGGTGGCAGTAGCCACATTGCGGTCAGGCAGGTTGCAGACCTTGCTGCTGAGGTCGCTGCACATGGACCAGGAGTTTTGGGAGAGCCAGGGCGGCGTCGAGGGCCTGACACCCCTGCTTCAGACCATCGACAGGCGGGCACGCATCCTGCTGCAGTACATCCAGGAGCACAACCTGACAGTGTTTGGGGACTCACCTCGCTGAACCATGGCGCACCTACCTTGCAAATCCTGACAGTGATGGAGGTACCTCACACCCTCAGCATGGGCTCTCCAAAAGGTGTTCGCTGCCTCCCTGCAAGATGCCCTGGAAAAGGAGACGGGATCACAGGGAATAGGAAGGAGGCAGAGGAAAAGTGTCCTGAAACAACCCACAACTGCTCAAGAAAGGCAACATTTATCAAGTAATGGTCTCACCATGGAGGGGCACATCCATGAGATTTTTTTTTTTTTGGATGCCTCCATCCTTCCCACCCCAGCAACTTTGAAAAGTGGAGACTTGGACAGTTGATCAGCCTATGAGGACCTTGGGAAGGATTAAAGAAGCAGTGAGGCAGAGGTAGCCACTGGCAGTCTTTCCATGGCTTGCACTGGGTTTTTTCGATGATGCCTTAACTGTTTCCTAAACAATACAGACAGAGAGGCTGGGGTGGCATGAGGGAAAGCAGAGGGGACCTTTCTAACCAGGGACAAGTGGCCTGAGCTGAGCTCTATCTTTCCTGCCCATGAAGGAGGTGATGTGTTCCTGGGACGGGGTGTTAGCCACTGCCCAAAGCTGGGGCCAGGCAGGACCCTGGCCTGTAGGCAGGGCCTGGCAGCAGCTGTCATCTTGGAGCCCATGGTCCCGTCCCCGTGTGCCACGCCTTGGCAGGGCTGGGCTGCTGCCAAGGTGCACATTCAATGTGGGATTTGAAGGTTTCGATCTCTTGCTCGCTCTTTC